GTGCCTTACTGACTTGCATGTATTTGAACCTGAATAATTACTAGATCTAGATCTGAGACCTGTGTACTTCACAGGCTTGAGTCGATAGGGCCAAACCTAGATCTAAGTCTAAGTACGGCTAGACTGGCAAGTGACACGGGATCAAGACTAGAAACTAGATAGAATCTAACAAAACGATTCTTACACAATGGAAACACTCTGCAACTCAGTAACCAGTATGAGCAAAATCATTAGATCTAGACTAGATCTAATCTGCAATATACTATAGCTCTATAATGTAGGCCTCAGTGAAGGGTGGCCTACGGTCTACACGTACGTAGGCCTAATAAAATTGCAGCACCGCCGCACCACTGCATCAGTCATCGACCACTGAGTCAGAGTAACGTCCCCTTGGGCATTATTGATGTTATAATTTCTTGGAAATGGAAGACGCCCCTTCACCGTTTCCACGCTTCGCTGACAGACGAAGGTTGATGACTGACCGGTGACATCACACCATGCTCCTTCCGATACACAGAATCAGGCGATGGGAGCACGTTCTACGAGAAGGGTGGGGGCAAAACTTGGGAAACTGTGCTACATAACATGTAGCAAACTAAATTTTGATAATATTCAAGATTTTATCACTTCAAAAGCGCTAGATCTACCCCCTGCCCTGGTAGCTTTATATGGGCACTATACGCAAAATGAGGTTAAAGTTAACATTTCATGCATTCGGGCCCATACGACAGGCAACAGTCCTTTCAAATACACAATGTTGTATTGACTTAACATTCGTAATTTGATTAAAGAAAACTAACAGTACACAAAACGACAATCACAGTGGCTACTCATGGTCACTCTTGAGGAGAGAAGAATCAAACTAGACGTCTAGTTAGTAAAATTAAAATATAGGATTTGAATCAAATAGACCTTGATCAAGGAGGTTACAGTTAGAAACCACTTTCTCATTGCCAACAAAATGATCAGTCCCATCAAATTGTGTCTCTAAAGATTTGGGGTTACAATAACACATATTATTGTATTAAAATTACTGTATTTATGCGCATAGATGAGTGTGAAGGAGAGGATGTGTAAAAGAGAGTATTTATGATATGAGTATTTGCGCACTTGCGAGCATATATATATGTAATTTTTATATATATATATATATATATATATATATATATATATATATATATATATATATATATATATATATATATATATATATATATATATATATATATATATAATATGCTATATGGAATGCCAGCGGACTTGGAGACAAAGAACCAGAATAGTGAATTTCATGGAAGGAAAGAAAATGCCAATCATGGGCTTGTCAGACATAAGGAAGAGAGACAACCACAGCAAACTGACTTATAGGCTACCTCCTAATCTGGAGCGGAACACCTGAAAGTGAGATAGCCAAACATGGTGTAACTTTCATCATACACCAAGCCAACATGGATACAATCTATGAAATCAATCAGATCTCACAGAGAAAAGTGAGCATAAAACTCAGAGGACGGCAAAACAACAATGTACATCCAAACATATGCTCCCTGTAACGACAGCTGTACAG